GTCAGTGTGAACCACTGAGTAATGATCTAATATTTCTCCAGTAATTCACGGTGATGGCCAACTTTGCTCACCCTTCCTAATAGCTGTTTATTGAGAGCTTGCACTATCAGACCTTCTGGGCCATGTGTCTTAGTTATCTAACTCTTACCACTGCCTTCTGAAGCAAGAACTATTACTATTTAATAGTTGGCAAGGCTCAAAGAGATAACCCCCGCCTCCTATAGCCACATAGCTAGTAAGTGGTAGAGGTCAGTTTTTGACACAAATCTCTCTGATTTTCTGGTGAGAATTCTTTGGACTGTTGGTCTCACTCAGAGCAGGAATTTAGAAAACCTAAATAAGGGACCAAGAAAAAGACTAATTATAATAAAGCAAAAATCAAAATCAACAAGCAACTATAAACCAGAGACACACTACAGGGGCGTGGGAGGAGAGAGCAGGAGCAAAACAAGGGGGATGGGAATTGTATGGGGACTATAACCAAGATGAAAATGCATACATTGTGCAAAAATGAAAAATGATGTAAAAATACATAAAATAAAATAAAACATAAAAAAATAAATAAAAGAATTCTTTGGACTATGAACACACTCAGTTATAATGTTAGGCACCAGGCTGAGCCATTCTCCCTGTGATTAGGCTGCAGTTCAGTGAAAGGAAGATAATATTATAGAATACAAAAATTCTGAGAACCAACCCAACCCCCTACGGCCTCTCCCTCTGTCCTGGGGAATCATCAGGGCAGGTGGAAGGAGGGGTGTGATCCTGCCAGTACAACTGCTCCCCAAAGGCAAAGCAGACACATGCGACAGAACTTTCCAAATGCAATCACAGCAGTGGGAGGTAGTAGAGAGGGGAGAGGAACAGATTTCAGTTGGAGGCAGAGAAGAAATCAGCATGTTCCTGGAAGGAACAGCTGAGTTGGACCCTGAGGGATAGATAAAATTTAGACTTGAGGGGTGATAGCAAAGGCAGCTGAGAGGGGGGTGGGTGTCAGGATGCAGAGGAGGGTGGGGGCAGCTTCTTTAGGTGTCTAGGCTGATGGGCTGGGGCCAGGGGGAGAGAGCCTAGGGAACAGTACCCTTTAAGCATTCCAAAACCATCCCATTTTGCATCCCAGCCTTGGAACTTTCTAGCTCTGGATCCTCAAGCAATCTCCTCTGCTCTCCGAGTATCAGTCTCCTTGAGGAGGACACCGAGGACCCCCTAGCTAACCTGAGAACCTAATTTTAGAAAAATTTAATTGGAGCTAGGAGCATAGGTTATTCTCTTCTTTTAACTTCCTATACTATAAAAATGTGGATAAGAATGTACAGGTTACAACTGTGTAAAAATAAGGCTAGTGGTTCACAACAGGGGCTTTGAGGTCAGACTCACTGTGCCCTGGGAAGGGACCAGCCCTGGAAGCCGCACATTCCTCCTCCAACAAACGGGCACAGCAGAGGGACCTACTTTATGAAGCCATTGTGAAGAGCAAGGCAGGCAATGTCTTTAAGGTGCTTAGACAGAGTCTGACAATCAGTATTTGCTTATTCTACACCACCTATTATAAATAATAAACTATTTTTAACTCCTAGTCTAGTGGAGCTACTCGTTAGGGATTACCAAGCAGGTAAGGGTGGAGACAAATGTTGCCCTTCAGTCCCTGCTGGGATTTCCTAATCACCCACCCTATGGGGCACAAAAAGGGCTCCAAACAACATTCCTGGATGCACACCTTCTAGACCCTCTCGCATCCTAAATCTTCCTCCCTACCTCACAGTCAGCTGGCCTCCTCCACTGGTCTGCAGGTTTGGGGGTGCAACTCTTACACGTGCTTTGCCCTGCAGCGGGCGTTACACAATCCGCAATTCCCAGACTATCAGGACCCGCGTAGGCGTGGGTGGGGGACGCGAGGGTGGCAGGCTGGCACCTGGCTGCCAAGGAGGTTGGACCAACATCCTGATTTACCGGTTGAGAGGAGGAGGCACAAGAACGAGGGTGCCGGGGCAGGATGGGGAAATGGGAGCTGCAAGCCTTCTGGGGGTAGGCATTGGCAGGGAGCGGTCTGGAGGGGTGCAGAGGTCTGCAGCGGGACTGGGAGAGGTGACCCGGGAACGCAGGGCGAGCTACAGCCCTTCCCCAGGAAATGGAAGAAGGGGGGATGCAGGAGTCTCCAAACCTTGCAGGCGTTGGGTGGGGGTGCTTAGGGCGCGGGGTCAGGAGGCAGAGCGGTAAGAGGGTGCAGGTCCCCGACCCGTCCTCACCTGGCCGCTCGGCTTAGGGAGTCAGGCACTTCCCTCCCGGGGAGTGGAGGGACGGGCATTGGGAATGTCAAACCTATCCGGGGCTGATGCTGGAGATTGGGGAACGGAGTAGCAAGGAGGGCGCGGGTCCCTGACCCATCTTCACCCGGTGCCCCGCTTGTGGGGAGGCCAGGCAGCCGCACTCGGTAAGTGGAGGGTGGATTATGGGGCCAAGAGGGAGCCCCGATAACTCCCTTCGAGGTGCGCACCCCTCCCCCGGCCCAGCCCCGCCCTCGCTCACCTGAGCCGACCCAGGCCGTCAGGGTCGAGAAGCGCGGTCCGGACGCCTGCCCGCGGCCCCCAGCCCCCCACTCGGTCCGGCTGCAGCGCTCGAGCCCGAGCGCCTCTCCGCTCCCAGCTCCGGGCGCGGGTTCTGCTGGATGCCTTAAAGGCGCAGCGCGTTGGCCTGCTTCCGCCGACAGAAAAGTTGGCTCCGCCCGCGTCCCTCCCCCTCCCCCGCTCAGCTCCCCTTTCCTCGCTTTCGGTACTGGGGACCTTGGGAAGAAGCCCCGAGGGCCTCCGCATCGCTGTGCCATAGTGTTAAACCTGGAGGGCAAAGGTCATATCGCGCAAAACCCGACCCCAGCAACCTGTCTGCAAGCATCCTAGAGCCAAGGCAGGACACCAGCGCCTGCAGTGTTCTGGGCGCAGAGCCAGGTGCGGAGGCAGAACCCAACCACCACGTCCTAAAGAGCTCGTTTGGGCGGGGGACAGAGGGTGGGGAGGGGGTGGGACGGATTGGAACCCAAAGAGCCACAGTTCCACAATGCGACTCCAGAATTCGTTGGGGGCATTGTTTCATTTACTGAGCACCTACTGTGTGCCTGGCACTGCTGGGCACTGCACTGGCCGAAGAGACTTGGGCTGGATCTCTGCCCCTAAGGGGCTCAGAGTGAATGAATAGGGACAGACAGAGCTTCACAGGCAAGCAAAATTACTCTACCATACAATGGTTTTCTCATTTAATCTTATGAGGAGAGCATTGGTGTTGGCTTCCTTTCTTGAAAGAAGAACCTCTTGTCAGGGGTTCAGCCTGCAAATGCCAACCCAGGATCCTCTAGCTCCAAAGTTCTGGGGGTAGGGAAACCAGAATCTTGAAAGGTCTTCAGTTATCTCTGGTTAAATCCCCCAAAGGCCATTTTTCTTTTAAAAGCAATCAAACCTCAGACCTCCATGGTGCTGCAGGGGTTAAAGTCTCAGTGCTATCAAGCTATCACCAGCTACTGTGACCTGAGTTTGATCCCCAGCCAGGGAGTTAACCCACATGTGGCCCAGCAGACCTCTCTTCTCTGGCCCACTGCTTCCCTCAGCAGTGTATTTCAATAGATCTGCCAGCTCTGTTCCCCACTCTGGTGAATCCTCTCACACCCCTCCCCCCACCTCTGGCCTACACCCCAGTTCTAGCATACATAAATAAATCTTTAAAAAATAAAAACAATCAAACTGAGACACAGGGCAAGCTAGGAATTATGCAGTTTTAGGGACAGTGCAGGAGGGGACCTCTGAAGAATTTAGGGAGGCTTCAGAGATAAGGACAACCAAGGGAAAGTAACCCATTCCACTAGGAAAAACAAACATCTCAGGACCAAGGACAACATTGTTAACGCTGGTCCTGGTTTTCTTCAGGTGGTAAAGAGAGGCGAGATTGGAGAAATGGAGAGTGGTTTAATTTATGGACACATTAGAAGGGCAGCTGTTTAACTTCAATGCAGGGATGTCCATCCAGAGGACTGGGCCAAAAATTTAAAGATGCAACCAATGGGAAAAGAGAAAGCTGTTAGATAAGGAATGTAAAGATCCCCACTCAGTAGCAAATTAAGTGAGACAGCCGAGAACTAACCAATCACAAAGAAACTGGTGGAGCTTTAGAATAATGAGGGAAAAAAGGTATATATTCCCTGAGACACGACTCCACTTTGGCTTCCTTGCCCCTCCCAGGCCTGGTTCCCTGGCCTGGGAGTCCCACTTTATTTCTGTTCTTTTTCTCCTCAATAAACTTTTTCTTCTTCTAAACAAAACCTGCCTCTTCTCGCTTGCTTGCCTGAGCGTCTGCGAAGTTCCTGCTGCGGCTTCGTGAGACACCAACCCGTAGGGGTCCAGCGGCTGGGGCTCAGCGCTGCCCTGCAGCCTGGGATCCGTTCCTGGCTAGAAGACTAGGCCTGACAATTCCGGTATCAAAACCACATTAGGAGTGGGCCTCCCCGGTGGCGCAGCGGTTGAGCGCTGGGTTGCGAAGCTGCACGCGGCCTCTGCGGCGCCGGTTCGATCCCCGGCTGCTCCCCGGCCACCAGAGGAGGGTCCCACATGGCGCGCAGACCTCTCCTGCCGCCCGCTGCTCCCCTCAGCAGTGTACTTCGGTCCTTCTGCTTGCTCTGCTCTCTGCTCTGGCTTTGGTGAATTCTCTCACCCTCCCGCGCTTCTGACTGTACCCAGTGCATGTATAAACAAAACAAACAAACAAACCAGCAAACAAATAAATAAAGCATGCCTCTATAAAAAAAAATAAAATAAAAAATAAAAAAAAAATTAAAAAAAAAAAAAAACACATTAGGAGAAAGGAAAAATATATATATAATGGCAGGGAGCATAAAAGTTATAACCACTGAAAGCAAGTGGAGCTTCCTGACTAGCTTATCTGCTACAAAACCTGGGTTTTAAATACCTGGCTTCAATTTACTATTCTGACTCATCTCAGCATTCAGACTGAGCTCTTACCTCTTATGCCTTTGCATGGGCTGTTCCCTTCACCAAGAACTTTTCCCTTCTTGCATTTCCTGGCTACTTCTTCCTCTTTTCCAAACCTGGATTTAAATGTTACTTCCTCCAGGAAATCTTCCTGAAGTCCCCTTTGGGACCACACTGCACTTTGAGCTTCTCTCATCAAAATGTTTATTCATTCCTTTAACATATTTACTGAGCACTTCTGTTTGCCAAGCACTGAGTGTGGGGAACAGGGAGCCCTCCTTGCAAGTTTTCTTGCTGTGCTGAGGTCTTGGCGTGTTTGTCTGCCTTTTCCTGACCTAGGTGGGATCCATGCCCAGCAGTACTCTTTATCCATTCTTTCATTCCTTCATTCAGCAAACCTTTCCAGAACCGACTTTTGGGTGAACAAAGATATGCCCGTTATGGCAGAATTCCATCAGGGAAGCAGGCATCACTCAGAGAGGAGGAGAGAAGGTCTTTCTTTATGCCGGTGGGCTTTATACCAGTGGGCCCAGAGGAGGTATCTCTTCAAAGTCTGAGCCCCAGCAATTAGTTTACAGAGTATTTATTGACTAAAGCAAGAGGTACTGAGTCAGTTGGGAATGAATGAATCAGGGTGCCTGTGACCTTGAGGGCGCATATCAGTTGGTCCCTAAATCTTTCAGTCTACAGGCTATGTCCTGACTTGAGCTAATCCACAGGTCAGCCTGACATTTTCCACTTTATGCCTTCAAGGTCTTAGAGTCTATTAAGAAGTTTTGAAAACATAGTTGTTTATTGATTTTGATTTTTTTCTTTCTTATAGCTATTCTTTTTCCTGGTCCCTTATTTAGGTTTTCTAGATTCCTGCTATGAGTGAGACCATCTGGTATTTTTCTTTTTCTTTCTGGCTTATTTCGCTGAGCATGATCCAACAAACAACTATGAACCAGAGACACACTATGGGGGGCACCGGGGAAAGAAGGAGTTGGGGTCAAAATAAGGGGGTTGAAATTATATGGGGAATATAAAAATAAAATTAAAAAAACAAACAAACAGGGGAGAGAAGAGCACAAGGAATTTGGTGAAGGTTCACAGGTGATGTGGTGGGAGATTTACGGGGACTACACCTAAGGAGAGAAACCAAATACTGTACAAAAATGAATAACAATGTAAGAAAATTAAAAAGTTTAATAAAAAGTTAAATATTTCCCAAAAAAAAAAAAAGTTTTGAAAACTTTAGAAATTTTCATCTGGTCTCCCGAACAGGATGGGGTAGGCTTTTCTCCATATGACTAGACAAGGTCTCTTGTCACCTTGGTAAGGGATCTAGAGATCAATCAAGCTCTGGTGACAGGAGGCCTATTACCATTAAAGAATGCAGATTATTTTGAGTTGAGAGCAGCTTCTGTCTCTGCTTAAATTCTCCAACGCTCCCTAACTGAATATGTTATCACTTGCTGAACTTTTGTCCTTTTACCTATCAGAGAAGCAATGCACTGTTTCTCTTTAATGACCTAGAAGAATGTGGTTTGGAAGGTCTCATCCAGTTGTAGGTTTATCAGCAAACATGTTTCAGGACAGGGTGAGGGGCAACCCAGAACTCTCAACCCTGCCCACTCTAAATAGATTCTGTCATCCACCGAATCAAGTCAAAACATGCTCTAATGCATACGACCTTTAATGGAAAGAACTTTAATACAATTAGTGTGCAATAAAGCACCAAAAGTTACCCATCCCCTTGTGGGTGAATGTCCAGTCAAAGAGGGTTGGCCCAAAGCAGGCCCACTGAGGCCTGAAAGCCTGCCCCATGTCTAAGGTACCTCCTGGTGAGGACCCACAGACAAGGCGCAGAAGGGGCCCAGCATGTCTGGGACAAAGGAGCAAAATCAAGACAAAAGCTGCCATTGTTAATCTCCCTACGGACCTCTCACCCACATCTGTTTCAACCAGTCCAGGACCAAGAAGCAAGCAAGGTTTCTTCACATGTCTCTCTCCATGTGGCTCCTCCAGGTCTCCTGCCTGCTCCCCACACTTCTTCCTTCCTTCTCCAGTCTCCTCTCTAGCTTCCCTGCTCAGCTCCACCCTCCCTTGGTGGGGAGGGGCAGGGAATCTGGAACCTTCCCTTTCCCTGGGGACCACCCTGTTACAAGCATGTTCTTTCTAAGAATTTTATCTTTATTCTCAGAGTGACGATGAGGCAATTCCCTTCTTATCTGTCATGTGATTCCACCCTCGCCCCCTCCAGCTTGAAACCTTGCGTTTCTAAACACAGGAAAATACTCCTGGTCTGTTCTATTATTCTTTTTTTTAAAAGATTTATTTATTTATGCATACAAGAACTGGGGTACAGGCCAGAAGTGCAGGGGGTGAGAGGATTCGCCAGAGACAGAGTGGAGAACAGAACAGGCAGACTGACTGAAATACACTGCTGAGGGGAGCAGTGGGCAAGACAGGAGAGGTCTGCTGTGCCATGTGGGTTGCTCCCTGGCTGGGGATTGAACTTGTGCTACAGTGGCTGAGGACAGCCTCACAGGCTGCGTCTTAACTCCTTGTGCCACCAGGGAGGCCCTGTTCCATTATTCTTATTAACAACCATGTAAATTCTCTGTATGTATGTTATTACACCAATTGCTTTTCCTTTGATACCATTCTGATGCTGTTTTGATTACTCATGCATCTCAAAAAGAACCCAGAAGGGTGCCAGGTGATTTTCTGTGTGCCTTGACAAAATTATTCAATCAGGGACCACAGACAAACCATAATGGAATCATGAGTAACACCAAGTACAAAAGCTATGTTGGCATACAGAAATACATGCAGGGGAAGAAGAAAAAACACAATATACCATATGCTCACAGACCTCACCCCTGAGCTTAAGGGCGTGCGCATGAGTCTTTCTCCAAACATTTACTGCATAGCATTTCTAAGCTGAGCCCCTGCCCATTATGTGATTCAGATGTTACCACTTCACAGCAGCCTTTCCTGAAACTGTTCCATTATCCATACCCCTTTAGCACATTGTACGTGGTTACATATTTATTCATTTCAGTGTCTTTTTTTTTTTTAAAGATTTATTTATTTATGCATACAAGAGCTGGGGTACAGGCCAGAGATGTGGGGGGTGAGAGGATCCAACAGAGACAGAACAGGGAACAGAAGAGGCAGACTGACAAAATACTCTGCTGAAGGGAGCAGCAGGCGAGACAGGAGAGGTCTGCCTCGCCATGTGGATTTCTCCCTGGCCGGCTGGGGATTGAACACATGCTACAGAGGCTGTGGATTGCTTCTAGTGGAGTGCTTAACCCCTTGAACCACCAGGGAGGCCCTCATTTCAGTGACTCTTTATCCCACTGAGTTCTGAACTCCTTTTCCATCTCCATCTCCCCAGGGACCAGCATGAAAGGTGGCAGAGTAGACACATTAACTAATTAATAAATTAATTGACTAATTATTACAGCCCAGGATACTTAGATATGATCTCAGAAACATATTCAGTGATCTCCAAGAAGTCATGCCAGAAGATTCTTATAAGAGCAAAGGTCCCATATCAAATAAGTAGAAAGTTCATGTGCACCTTGTACTCTGCTTGCGTGCATTATCACATTGAATCTTCCTAACAACATAATGAGGTAAGCATTGTTATTTACCCCATTTTATATATAAGGAAATTGAAGCTCTGAGCACTTACATAATCTACCCAAGGTAATACAACTAGTAAGTGAAACTGTTAGAGCCCAAACCAAGTTGTGTATGTGTGATTCTAATCACTAAGATGTCTGCTGCCATAATCAATAATGGAATTAAATATGATAGCTGTGGTAGCCTTACCTCAAAAGAGCTGTATCTATAAATCTGTAAAATATTCACATTCTTTTTTTTAAGATTTATTTATTTATTTTATACAAGAACCGGGGTACAGGCCAGATGCGCAGGAGGGTGAGAGGATTCACCAGAGACAGAGGGGGAACAGAATAGGCAGTCTGACGAAATACACTGCTGAGAGGAGCAGCGGGAGAGGCAGGAGAGGTCTGCCGGGCCATGTGGGACCCTCACGGGCCAGCTGGGATTGAACCAGGGCTGCAGAGGCTGCAGACAGCTTCACAGCATGGCGCTCAACTGCCTGCACCACCAGGGGAGGCCCAATATTCACATTCTTCAGGCAAAAAGCATCCCCTTTCTAAACAATTCAATATATTGCTTATTCATTTATTTGTTAACTAAAGGTTTTGGAGCATCTGCTATGCATAGGCTGCAAACTGTGCAAGATACATTGAGTATCTTCCAGGAATACAGTCTAAGTTGTAGTTATATACACCTAGTTATCATTACATGCACCTTAAAAAAAAAAAATCAATGCAAGAGTTACATAATAGAACATGCTGAGACAACATTTTAACATATGTCAAAATGTCGCATATGATCCCAGAATGAGGAACTCAGTAATAAGGCGGTAAATAACTCAGCAAACTTGATTTGGTGAAAATGTCAGTTGAGCCCAGTACTAGGCTCAAGGGTTTCCTGGATTTGAAAGGGAAGACATTGAGAGAGTGGTGTGACTGCAGAGGTAGCTCTCTGATAAACCCAGATTTTTCAAGCACCCGTGTATACGTTGAAAGATGATGCAAAATTTCCTGGATCTTAAAAAAAGAGGAAAGGAAGGCTGATATTCAGAATCACTGAGACTAAAATGCTGCAGACAGAAAAAAAATTGTTCATTTACATTCATATTTGGATAAAGATGAATTAAAAAGCAACTGAACATGCGTCATGGCAACAGATAGCAGAAGGAAGCAAAGCTACCAGTTTCCTACTTTACTTCATCACAGAGAAAGAGCTTCCTTGGTCAGATTAGAATATCACAAAGAGGGAAACCAAGTGCAGTATAGGAATAAAGGATAGGGAATGAATAACAACAATTTAAATTCATTCAGTTTATCAGATCACAAGAAAGACTGTGATAACTAAAAAAAGACAACCATCACTGGAGCCTCCCTGGTGGCGCAAGCACCACACTATGAAGCAATGGCAGCCTCTGCAGCAGAAGTTTGATCCCCCACCGGCCAGGGAGCAACCCACATGGCGCAGCAGACCTCTCCTGACTCCCCCGCTGCTCCCCTCAGCAGTGTACTTCCGTCAATCTGCTTGTTCT